CGCATATCGGTTCCTCTTCAGTGGAACCTCCTCCTCCACCTCTTCAAAATGGCTCTCTGACCGTTCGGGGACATCTTTCTTTTTTCATCTGGCCGCAATCGCTGTCTTGTAGCCCCGTATCTTGTCTTGATGAACTAAGAAAATAGTGAAATGCTCAATAAATAAATAAATATATAAAGAAACCACAACCGCGAATGAGGCTCAAAATATTACCTGAACTGGAAGGAGCCGAACTTAAAACTCGTACTTGCACCAAGCCAGCCCGGAATAAGTTCGGATCTGAGATCACAAACTTACAAGACCTTTGCCTTTTGGGTAACGATCTTATTACCTCAGCTCGTCTCTGCGTATCTTTGGTTAATGTCTCCTTCTTGTAATCTGTAAAAAGGAAAAATACCGAGGTCACTATTTCGTCAACAGACGTTTTGCTAAAAGACTAAAGCATAAAAACACTTACATAAAGAATGATAGAGCCTGGGGACCACGTCCTCTCTATTCACCTCGGTAGAATGAAATTGCCACTCCCCCGATACATAGAACCACTCTTCCTTCCATTTCTTAATTGAGGAAGGGGTGTCTAACACCAGAGAACCTCCCATCCTGGGCCTAACGCTTGTGTACCACCAATCGAGTTCTTCCCATCCTCCTTAAAAGTAAACAGAGAGTCGAACTGCTAGACACTAAGCTCGATATTCCCCATTTGGTCCCACAGAATAATGACGGCGATTAAGGTTTACCACCCGTTAGGGCATAGCTGCGTGGGAGCTAAGCCCTAGGAAGAAAGGAATTTACGAATCACCCTAGGAAAGGGAAGTCTAAGGCCGGCCTAAAGGATAGTTGAGTTCAGAGCAACACATCTCTCAGAAGGAGTATCATCCCGGTCAGATGGTTTTGGTATTATCATCACTACTGAACTAGGGATAGCGTATTTTGCTCGCCAGCTGGCTAACATATCCCTTGTTACGACTGACCTGTAAGAACTCGCCCCCCACTCTTCAGAATTACTCTTCGCAACATTCTTATTGGATCTACCCTCTCTCTTGGAACCTTCACATCCAAAGTACATGACAGGACATCCTAAGTCGATTGGGTTAATTATGGAAATAGGAACAGACTCTTCCTGCTGGTTTCCCCAGGAATGAACTCTAGACTCGTCAGAACTCATGTATAAACTAGGAAACAAAGCACAAACTGAAAGGAGGAAGAAAAATAAGAACAAAACAATACCTGGGAAATGAATTGGGAAAACGACCTCACTCGAAAATGGAAAAACGAACTCAGGAGATTGCCCGAATATTTGAGAGAGAATAAACCAGCGAAATAAGAGGCGAAATGGCTGGCCAAAAGGAATTTAAAGAAAGAGAAACTGAGAGGGCGCGATCTGAACCGTCTATCCAGAAATGGGGAGAAAAATCAACGGCTCAGAAGCTTGAGAGACCAAAACGACGTAGTTTTAACTAAGCTTGCTAAAGAAGCTACTTACAAATGTCGTACAGCTCATCCCCGTCAAAAGATGACACTTGGCGCAACAATAAATGCACTTCTTGGAGAAAACATCATTGAGGTCAGCCCCCTTACGATAGAACTGACCTGGGGGTAACTGTTGACAACCAAACTCCAATCTAAGTTAAAACAATTCACGAACCCCACCTCAGACAAATGGGAGTTCGGTTCTTACTCCCAGGTCGGACAATCCTGCCGTTATCTTAGAAAAACATCATGATTACACCTGTCACATCACCCTATAATCAAATACACTTGCCGCAGGTGACATTATCACCGCCCGAAACTACCAATCCTAAGTCATAATCCTCAAGCCCCTTGTAGGTCATCATTACCTGGGGAAATATTGACACGTGGCCACTGGCCTTGTCGACCAATTACAGGAGAATTCTGCAACCCGAGTTTCGAGCTCAGTACTGTTGCTGATTTAACTGATTTGATGTGATTTCGACTAAAATTATGTATAAAAATAGTTGAATATGACTCTTGTAAAGGGCAAGTGAATTCATATAACAACTTATGGCGCAATTACACTTTCTAAACATATTTTGTGGTGTTTTTTCAACAATAAATCGCTTTTTTTGTTAAAGCTGGCTTAAGATTAGCCTTGCTAATTTTGACGTCAATAAAGCCCAAAACTATTATAATTACCGTAATTAAGTTCCAATACTTTATGGAGCTACCACAGGGACCTGATCGGACATATATTTTTCAAACTCCAATAATTAGATCCTGTCTAGTCGACCTTAGACCACCCAATCTAATTATTAGTCATTGCCTTATCACTAAAGGCAAAAGACTAAATCCTTGGAATATATAAGATCACAGAAACTAATAAATCTGTAATACTTTCCTCTTACCTGCCGTATATGTATTTTATCCATGTCCAAGATCCGATAATTAGGTACGAGTATAAATGACCGTTTTGCCCCTCTAATTATTCTTACTAACTTAAGTTTCATTTTCTTCAACAGTCCTGTGAACAAATCACAGATGTTGAAGTTTAGCTGTCGCTAAACACTGAGCTCAGATTTTAACCGTTCAACAAAAAATACTCAAGTAGTCACTCTACCCATCTTCAGGGAGACGGTTCCCGACACAAATTCATGTTCTCTACTCCGCTCATTCATAAGTTTCCAACTCATCGATATATTTGACCAATCAAATTGATCTCACACATTGATGAATCGAAGAACAATTAAAATCGCGAAAAGATATACATAATCCTGTCAAAGGATTTAGATGAAATACACAGCGGTCAAGTAGAATTTAATTCTCCGCACTGTCATGCTATAGAATTAAATTCGACATGTGATCCGTTCAATACACTCCAAGTGTATTAGTGTCACCTTTAACTATTTCTGTGATAAGGACAAATCACAAACTTGAATAGTGAATCGGTCAACACTACAACCTTCCAGTACAAGGTGCTAACCCTTATATATTGGTAGTGAATAAATTATTTATGATCAAAATATAAGTTGTATCTCACTGTACTTCTCAACGCAAGTACCAAACTCATATTATTAAAAATGATCACATGCACTTTAATTTCGCATGCTCAATAAACAAATGCAATAAATAGAATAAACATAATTTTATTCAATATAAAAAATATTATTGTTATTTTTTTACATCAGCAAAACTATATTATATGGGCACACAACCCAACAAATCTCCCACTTTTCCTAAAGTATATGTGTCATGTTCTGTAACCCCATGCCTTACACATATCTATTAAAACCTAGGCCGATAGGCTCTTTGTAAATGGATTCGCGAGGTTATCCCCAATAGCAATTTTACTGACAATCACATCTCCTTTATTAACTATCTCTCTCAAGAGATGATATTTTCGTTCAATCTGTTTACCCTTTTGATGACTCCTTAGTTCTTTAGCATTTGCCACTACCCCAATGTTATCACAATACAGTGTCAGGGGCTATGCAGATGCAGGCACAACCTCGATATCCTTTAGGAATTTTTTGAGCCACATTGCTTCCTTAGTAGCTTCACAAGCTGCCACATACTCAGCCTCTATGGTGGAATCAACAATACATGATTGTTTGATACTTCTCCAGATAATAGCCCATCACCAAGTGTAAACAGTAATCCTAATGTAGACTTGCGAGTGTCCTTATCAGCCTGGAAGTCTGAATCTATATAACCCACTGGAACAAGATCTAGTAATGAGTAAACTAGCATGTAATTCCTTGTCCTTCGAAGGTACTTCAGGATATGCTTTACAGTCACCCAGTGTTCTGGTCCAGGGTTCGATTGATATCGACTCACCATACCAACAGCATAATAAATGTCAGGTCTAATGCACAGCATAGCATACATGAGACTACCAACTGCCGATGCATAAGGTATTCTACTCATGCGTTTCACCTCTTCAGGAGTCTTAGGGGACTGATCCTTAGAGAGTTGGATTCCATGCTTGAAAGGTAAATTACCTTTCTTGGAATCTCGCATGGCAAATCTGACAAGTATCTTATCAATGTATGAAGCTTGGGATAGAGCTATCTGCTTGTTCTTTCGATCTCTTAAGATCTGAATACCTAGAACATAGCTAGCTTCTCCTAAGTCCTTCATATGAAATTATTGGGCCAACCATGCTTTCGTAGACAATAATGCTCCAACATCATTTCCAATGAGTAGAATATCATCCACATATAGCACGAGAAAAATTACAATTTTCTCCTGTATCTTCTTATAGACACGGGGTTCATCAAAATTCTGATCAAAACCATATGTCTTAATGACTTCGTCGAATCTCTTGTTTCAAGATCTTGATACTTGCTTCAACCCATAAATGGACCGCTGAAGCTTGCAAACTTTGTCTTCATGACCAAGTTCTATGAATCCATCTGGTTGCACCATATAAATACTTTCCTCAAGATGGTCATTCAAAAAAGCTGTCTTGACATCCATTTGCCACACCTGATAATCAAAATGAGTTGCAATGGATAAAAGAATCCAGATAGACTTAAGCATAGCCACAGGAAAAAAGGTCCCCTCGTAATTTATGCCTTCTCGTTGGGTGAAACCCTTAGCCACTAGCCTTGCTTTGAAAGTGTCCACTTTTCCATCTGCTTTTCTCTTTCTCTTATAGACCCACTTGCACCCGATGAGTTTTATCCCTTCTGGTGCATCTACAAGTTTCCAGACCTGATTGGAATACATAGATTCCATTTCAGCATTCATAGCTTGTTGCCATAAATCTGCATCCATATCATTCGTGGCCTCCTTATATGAAGTCGGGTCATCAACTTGTGTTGTGGAGATCGCCTGATTGGACTCTCCAACTAATAAGTACCTAAAAGGTGGTCTAATAACCCTCTGACTTTTTCTAAGGGGCAGTAGATCTTGGATTGTGGCATCGTTTGGAATTGTAACGTTTGTATCAATGTTGGTATCACCATTAGGTGGTTCCATTACCTCCTCAATACCTTCAACATTTACTTGATCCATGGGATTGGATGACTCATCTCTCCCACTCAAACACATTGTTTAGGTATATCTGACACCAAGGGTTGTCTGTCATGAGATTGTGTTTCAGGAATTGATGTGGTGGAATTGCTCCCACTCAGTTCTTCTAATACGACCTTGCTTTTGGACTGGCGTTCATTAATATACTTATCCTCTAGGAAAGTGGAATTTGTGCTAACAAAGACTTCCCTATCTAGAGGACTATAAAAATAATATCCCCTGGTACCTTTAGGGTATCCCACAAACAGGCATATCTCTGATCTAGACTCCAACTTCTCTGCCTTCCCTTTCAGCACATGAGCTGGACATCCCCAAATTCGAATATAACGTAAGCTAGGCTTGAGCCCATTCCATAATTCCAGGAGAGTCTTAGGAACTGACTTAGAAGGAACTAAGTTAAGAACATATGCTGCTGTTTTCAGTGCATATCCCCAAAATGAGATAGGTAGAGTTGCGAAACTCATCATTAACCTAACCATGTCTAACAATGTCCTATTTCTTCTTTCTGAAATGCCATTCTGTTGGGGTGTACCCGGCGCACTTAGTTGAGAAACAATACCATTTTCTGTTAATTAGTCCCTGAATTCTCCCGAGAGATATTCGCCACATCGATCTGATCAAAGTGTTTTAATATTTTTACCCAAATGTTTCTCGACCTCAGCCCGATACTCTTTGAATTTTTCAAAAACATCTGACTTTCAAGTAATTAAGTAGATGTATCCGAATCTAGAGTAATCATCGGTAAAAGTGATAAATACTCATAACCCCCACTCACAGGTGTATTCATAGGTCCACATACATCAAAATGAACTAGTTCTAATACTTCTTTAGCTCTATGTCCTTTTGCTAGAAAGGATCTCTTGGTCATTTTACCCTCCAAACAAGAATCACAAACTGACAATGGTTCGACCTTAAGTGTGTTAAGTGGATCATCTCTAGCCAATCTTTATGTCCATTTAAGGTTAATATGTCCAAGTCTAAGATGCCATAAATAAGTATCACTAGTATGGTTAGACATTCATTCATGGTTTGCAGAAGTAACATTTATTTCATTTGTGGCACAATTTAAAATATAAAGACCATTCACTAAATATCCAGTACAAATAGGAGCTTTATTCTGTATAATATGAAGCGCATCATGCGCATAGTTTACATAATAACCTTGTCCTATTAAATAAGAAACAGAAATCAAATTTCACTTCATCCGTGGGACATAATAACAATCTTCAAGAATTAAATGCCTACCACTATTGAAATAAAAGTAAATCACTCCTATTGCTCTTGCTGAAACTATAGCTTTTGTGCCGACGGTAATTTTAAACTGACCCTCACTGAGTCTTCTGCTCTCATGAAGCACCTGCATAGACATGCAGATATGATTAGTGGCTCTAGAGTCTACAACCCACAAATTTGTAGAATCAACCACCAAACATGACTCAACAATAAAAAACTCATCAACACCCAGCTTTTTAGCCAGTGCATCAGGGCAGTCTTTCTTCCAGTGTCCTTTGCAACCACAGTGGAAACATTTGCCTTTTGGCGTTCCATCTGATTTGGGCTTTTTGTTGCTTCCTGGCTTTTTGTTAGATCTTTTCCTTTTTTTTCAAATTTCGCCTTTTGGCTTGGAGCTAGAGAAGGTAGCAATTGCTGCATGAGCATGGCTACCCTTACCCTTAAGACCACTTTCCACATTTTGCAACTCATTCATCAACTCAATTAATGGTATATTCATCTTGTGCAAGTGATAGTCCACAGTAAACTGTGAAAGCATATCAGATAAAGAATTCAATACCATATCAACTTGAGTTTCCTGATCAATAGTTGCAACCAGATTCTCTGCCACGTTGAAGTGTGCAATCATAGTCAACATATGATCATTCACAGGCGTTCTGGGTTTCATGCGAATGTTCTATAAGGTAGGAATGGCCTCAAAGCGAACCCTCTTACTTTGATGTCCAAACATGCCCTTCAAACTTTCTAGTATGTCATAAGAGGTCTCCTAACTTTCAAGCTTTTGCTGTAACAAGTTTGACATAGATGCCAAAATATAACAGTGAGTCATCTTGTCAGCAGCGATCCACTTATCATATGCAGCCCTCTTGGACTTGCATGTAGTCTCAGTAGGTTCCTTGGGACTCTTCGAGCACGAAATTAAGTTTTTTGACAATAAGCACAAACATCAAATTACATTTCCAATCCACATAATTATCCCCAACAAGTTGGTTTTGTTTTAGAATAACAAAAAAAGCGCTGAGAGACATTTTGCTGAAAAATAACAATTTATTGCATATTAAAATTGAGCAGCGAATGATAATTTAGCATATGATGCATGAATGCATGTGTAGATCCATCTAACTACAATAATGTAAAGATGACTTGATCCCTGTGATCCAACATGCCTCTCTATAGGAAAGTCAATGTACGCACTAATCAAGCTGAGACCCTCCCACTTGAACAAAATATATCTGACAACAAATATCTATATTAAGTCTAGCATCGTTTTATTTGGTCACCAAAATTATAGACGAGAGCCTCTATAGGAGGTTCATAGACAATTTTGATTTGAGTGCACAACCTTTGTCTCAATCTCTAAACATTTGAAAATAATTTCGCCATCTATAGGTTGATCACAAATTATATTCTATTTAGACGATTTTATCATAAAGAAATCCAATCAAGCATCGTGAACCACGCGGCCCTTCTATAGGGAAACCGCTGCATTACCGGCATAAGGCAAGCGTGTTACTTTGCTTATGGATTGACCAAAAGAGACCGTGGATTTTTATTTAAATAAACACCATCTTCCACTCAATATTTTAAAATAATGGATTTTAATTGAAACAATTACCAGTTGTTCATATTAATTAAATTAATATACAGTTTAATTATTATGATTTTTCTATTCAGAATAATTTAATTTAAATTTAAATTAATCAAAGAAAAATTCGCGTTAAATAATATGCATCCTATTCATCTGTCTACACGAGCAGATGAAGCAGACAGCAAAAACTAAAATTTTTGGAATGCGAAAGCAGAGTTAATCAGAAATTGAAAATATATTATATTCTCTCCCATATTCTTTCCTAAAACTAAGCAATTAGTTATGTCTTTCAACACTTCTCACACATGCACCAATCTTATCTTACCATCCAATCGAAATATCAATTTCTCATATTCTCTTACCTTCCAACAAACAAAATCTCCAATATTTTGACCACGATTTCATTAAATTTGTTGCATTGTAATTAATTTTACTTGATGTAGATTTCACTTTTCAAGCTCAAATAAAATAATAGAAATATTTTCTTCAAATTTAATTTTAATCATATGAGAGTTGTCAGATACAGTAGTCAAAGAATTTGGTGATAAGAGATATCTATATTTCATTATGAAGAAATCATAAAGCCATTTTTATGTCTTTTTTATTCGTAAACTGTGTATTCTTGGATATGTTAAATTGAAAGATCATTCAAATGAGATTTATCGTTGATATGAAATTTTGAATTCTTAATGACATAAAATTCATAATTTCTTTACATGTTTCTGTAATTCATAAAATTTCAGCGTGACTGTAACATATTGATTGTGTGTTTTGTATTGTATGTGTCCAAGTTATGTTTAATGATGACTGTTTTGTGACGTAGTCTGTGTAAATTGTTATTGTTTGTGACTATGTCTGTGTAAGCTTTTATCGTTTGTGGCTAGGCCTTATTATCTGTAACCATCTGTGGTCAACTTTGTTTTTATTATGACTATTTGTGATGAAATCTGTTTTAACTGTAATTGTATATCATCAAGTTTGTATTAATAGTAGTGTGTAACCAGATCTCTGTTCACAATGAATGTTTGTGATCAGATATGTGTTACTTGTGATTGTTTGTATTCACGTCTGTCCTCATTGTAATTGTCTGTAACTAAATCTGTCTTAAAAATGATTGTATGTGACTAAGTCTATGTTAATAGAGACGTGTAACTAGACATCTGTTAAACATGAATATTTGTGGCAAAACACGTTTCCGTATTAAAGTTTGTGATTAATTATATGTTAATTGTGGCTCTTAGTGACCAAGTTTGTGTTAACTGTGATTTGAATGTGACCAGCTTACCGTATCATGACATGTTATCCCAAATTTTATCTGACTAAAAATTAACATAAGTGAAATAGCAATCATAAAACATAGTTTGTCATCCATATTAACGCAACAAACATTATCCATAGTATTAAAAATGTGAAAAATATTCATCTACATGTGCGTACAACCAATATTCGTCTACACAATCATTTACTAACTAAATCTAAAATGACAAATCATTTTCTAAATATTTAGTTCTGAAAAAATTAATCATCTTTATTTGTTTTTCCTCTCCGTCCAATTTGCCTGATTTGCTTGTGTTTGATCAACAACGAAATTTCAACCGTAGTTTCGATAGCATCAAATGACATGAATGTTAGACATGTTGATGTGATATGGAGCTTGTAATTTTTCTAGGGAACTATTTGTTTTTTTTTTTTTGATCAAATATTTCTAATCCTGTACAAATTTGAGTGTTAGACATGTGACTATGACCTTGATCACAAATATAAACATGTGATTGTGATATGTTCTTTTGTGTTTGTGATCTTTTCTACCAAATAATTCTATCTAGTAGCGGTGGACATTTTAATCGGAACCGAATCTTTTGAATCGAAATTGGAGGTTCCGGTCAAGTTCTCAAAAGAAATAAATAGGAATCAAAATCGAAAATCAAGAGAATCTAGGTCGGTTCTTGGTTCTTCAATTGGAACCGTAGGTAATGGGATGAAAGAGATTTTTTATAATTTTTTTATTTCTAATAATTTCTAGATTGCATAAAAAAATTACAAAATTTAATATTGATAACTTAAACACTAAATTGGTTTCTCAATTCAGCCCAAAGAAAATATCAATTCCAAAGCTTTTGGCCCATTTTAGTTACATAAGTCCAAATACATATATCTTGCCCAAAAATAATTTAGGCATAGCCCAATACCAAACTTGTAAAGATAATAACACATTTTCCTCTTTTAATCGCTAGAATTCCCTGCCGCCTTTCTTTTCCCATTCCATCTTTGTGTTTCCTTCTCGTCAACATTAATCTTGCTACAATAGCTTCGTCTCTTAAACCGAGACCACAGGTGATTTTTGTAACTCCTACAATACATACTTATTCTTCCATATTATGTTATCTTCAAGTCTTTATTTGAATTTTTCTTGGGTATCGATATAATTACTTCAAAAGGCACAATTTTTTAAATTCTGGCTTGTTTTTAATGCTCTTTTAAGGATGATCCTATTAGTTTTTTGTGTAACTTCTAATTTGTTAAGTCTCTGTATATGTCTCGGATGAGTAGTCCATTAATGTCAATTACTAAATCTATGACATCATGGATAGTTTGTGAATAATTCGTTTACTTATATTATTGGATTTATTGAATGTGTATTCAAAAAAAATTTATGGGTAAAATCGAACCCAAACTAGAACCGATGATTTGAGTTTAGGTTTGGATCCAATAATTACGTGGAATCGAATGGATCCATTTACGAAATACCCAAAATATAATGGGAGATTCCGGGTGTTGAAATATACTCAGACCGACCCACCCGATACCCATCCCTACTATCCAGCATTTGTATTTTGGTCATATCAAGTAATAATATAACAAAATCAAGTCAAATTTATTAAGATGAGGTCACATAATATAATCAGGTTACAATTAGAAAAAGAGGTCGCAGATTACGAAAATTAGGTCACAAAATTCCATTTGCATGATGCACGACATACCCATACTCACTTTTGACATTGTAGGACATTTACACATAAACATTAACCGTGAAAGGATTGCACACC